CTATCGTTTGAATGATACAAGAACGAGGTTTGAGGTATATTGTATTATTATACCTACATTGGAGTTATTATTGTTTGAAAAATTACTCTAATCGAAAATCAGTATTATCGTCAAATTTGATGGCGTCGAAGCAATTCATAAATTAGCCTCACCATACGCCGAAGGAATGTCTCATCACTACCTATTTATCATTCCAGTTGAATTGCAGATTAGGCCCACGGTTTGTCTTTGAATCATTATATCCTTTGGGAAGTAAGGCTGAGTGGAATTAGATCATGTCGTTAGGCCTACTTATTTGATTATGGAAAAGTTCTACTATTAAGCTTTATCACTTTATACAGATCTTATTTGAGCTCTGTTGGTTGTTATAAAGCCTACTAATTCTGATAATTCAGATCAGTTTATTGCGTGTCCTGTGTGATTCATGCATTCTATTATTTGTGATTTCTAAACCAACAAGCTTCCATCTTATTTGCCGAAATACTTTGCAATTTTCCTGATTTATTCCGCAAGATTCATGCTCTTTATTTTAATTTATTTTATCACTCCAACTTTACCCCATAAGTATAGTTCAAAAAGAAATTTGAAAGGCTTTATACACATCTTTTCACTGGCATGATATGCAGCTTATTCAAACTACCACCCTTTTCTAATTCCTACCGAATTTAGACTTTCCACATATTATAATCACTAATTTTTTTAGAAAGATTTAGATTTTGCCAGACAACCAAACAATCATCCAGAAATCTAACCTATAAACATACTTCCAATTAAAACTATCTAATCAAAGCTATGAAGACCAAGATGGTGTGTCCTTTTGTATGGTTGCGGTCTCCTTTTGTTGTATAGTAGTTGTTCGATCTTATTTTCGCAATTTAGTGATATTGGCACTAAGACCTATAGGAACGCCCCTAGGTGGCTCACACAGGACAGTAGATAGACTTGCCTTATTTGTACGTCCATTGATGCTAGATAGATATTTTTGTTTAGCTACTTCACAAGTCATGCCATCTGCATCACTTATTTACAAGGCAGCATTATTTTAAGTGTTTTCCCAAAAATCTTTAATGTATTCTTGCATTTTTCACTAATTTCTTTTTTCAGTAATACCATTTTGTTGCACTATGTATTCTATATATTTATGTATTATGTAAATTATTTGTTTTATTTTATTAGATATGTTAAGTTCATGAGATCTTTTGTCACAGGCTGCTCGAGTTCATATTCTTTTGGCCTTTTGGAAATCAAAAGCTACGGGAAAACAAATTAATTTCGAAGCAGTTAGTGAATATCATATTGAAAGTCTTCATATTATATATGAAGACCAAGATGGTGTGGTTTTTTGATTGGTTGCAGTATCCTTTAGCTGTCTAGTATTGGTTTGACCTCGTTTTTGAACTTGGTCAGAGAGATAAGGATACCTTATGGAACGTACCTAGTCCTGCGCCCTCAGCATCGGATTATAGACTTGGTACATACCCAGACGTTTCGACGGCATTGCCAGTGAGGCGCCACCCTTAGCACAGAGTTATAACTTATTAAACTGATTAGTGACTTCGATTCCTGTCCTCGTTTATATGATATTCGAGGATTTAAAGATAGTTGTTTTTCATCTCTAAGCCTCGTCTTTTCCTTAGGTCTCAGACCCATAATTCAGTTATATTTCTCGTCCTTCCCTATTCTCTCTCATTCTATGGGAAGCTGTGTGCGGCTTGATTCGATTATCTACATTTTTCTTGGACGTGAATTTTATATTTTTTAAAAACCCAGAAACTCCAACCATCCTTATCTTTCGATTTTATTTTAGGACAGATGCTTGATTCCGAGCTCCTCCTCTTCACCCTTATCGACACTATCGGTTCGCTTGTGTCGTCTAAGGTCTATAACCTTGCTTTCAGCTCTTCATTCTTAGAGCTTAGTTTTCAGCTAAGTCTTCTTCTTCAGCTGCCTGAGTCTAAGGTATATATTTCTGGGATTTCGTTTTTGTTATTTCCCCAACTATTAAGGACTCAATAATTATTTTTATTATATCTAACTTTTACCGAATGAAAATCTATAAAATCTATCCACTGCGTAAAAAG